CTCTTAAAAAAACAAACAAAAAATCTTTTCATCCTTTCCAGGAATTCTAGTTGAATCTGTGCCCAGATTCCACACACAAAAAGCTGTGTTTTTCTTTGAGGCTTTGCTTGTAGATGTTTTGAAGTTATTCTCTTCTTTTGGATTTATATCTTGAATATCCCTGTCACCATAATAACTTTTTATGGTGTCATACTCTTTGTATTTGCTCTTTCTTCCAGGCTATTTCCTAACTTCAGACTTGATATTAGGGCTAGACTCTGCATACTTCTGTAGGGAGGATCTGAACTGGTCTGTTTGCTGTTTTCTTGGTATGTGGAGCATTGTGTTATTCCATGTCAAGGACAGCTCGGGCTGGTGACCTGTAAGCTTGCAGTGCCCCCAGTGTGGTCTGGTCCAGGGCAAAGTCTGACTGTTACCCCTCTCCCCTGTCTGAACTTGCTCACCACCCTCCTTTTCTTTGCAATGAAGAGGTAGTAATTATAGAGAGGAAGACAGAAGAAGGTAGAATGGAGGGAAATACACAGTTAATGATCCTAACTGTGGATGGGATGAACCTACCCATAAAATGGAAGAGGATGGTTGAATGGATTAGAAAGTAGAGTCCAAAAATATGTTGTTTACAGGAAACATAGTTGAAACAGAAAAACTCATGTAGAATTAAAATAAGAGGCTGTAGCAAAATTCACTTCAATGGAAGTGAAAAAGGCAAGGATGGCAATTATGATCTCAGATAGGGCAAAGAAAAAAACTGACTTGATTAAAAGAGACAAATGAGACCATGTCAAGCTGAAAGGTACCAATAAAGGTACAATAAAGGTCATATCAATATTTAACATATATGCACTAAATAGCTTCTCATCTGAAAGTTGAGAAATTTTAAAGGGATAATTTTCCTTATACAATAAAGGTACATTCTTTCATGGTCATGTTGGGTCCTGATTATATCTGGTTCTACTGTCGTTTATGTACCTCTGGTCACTGTGGATTTATCATATTACACCTGGTTATCTGGATTTTCTAGTGATCTAGGTACAGGGAAATATATATCATTTCACATCTATTTATACTATCTGTATAGAAGCAAAAGCTAGATTTGGCCGGCCCAGTGGACTTCTGTGGCCTCCGTTTACTCTGAGGAGTAGGGACACTTTGACCTTGGATCTCATCACAGATTTATCTTCATCCAAAAAGTACATGATACTCCTGGTAGTTACAGACAACCTTACCAAGGCTATACATTTCCTCCTTTGTTGTAGTATCCCCACTGCCTTTCATCTAGATTTCTTGTTTTTTCAAGGAACTTTCTGCATCGGTAGGCTCCTTGGTTAGGAGACCAGGGCCTTTAGTTTGTGCCTTAGTTTAGGCAATTTTCTTCAAGGCCTTTTAAGAGAAGATGAACTCCTCCTCCTGATTCTGCTTGTAGACACAGAGAGACAAATGGAACAGCCTGAAGTGCTGAGCCGTGTCTCTGTGGGCGTCGTGCCTCCCGTGGACAGGTACCTCCTTGGATGCGGTAGAGCTTGTTCGTAGCAGGGATGTCTCTGCTTCTACTCTGTGAATACCCTTATGTGTGAATTATAGGTCTGATTCCATTCCACAGACGTTTAATGAGTACTTGTTATGTGAGAGGCATGATTAATTTACCTACCCTTGCTATTTTTCAAGTATTTGTTAGCCATAAACCATGATCTTGCAGAGATATCCAAACTGATTTGCAAATGCCTCAATCTACCAGATGAAATAGGCTTGCCTGCCATCCTCAGGCATGGAGGACAGTCAGATCTTTGTAGGGAGGCGGCCTGTTACAGTTACTTTGTCTAACTTCATTTTTAAGTGCAGTGAACTATAAAAAATTAACAAATTATTTTTGGAAATGTTTAATATTGCCTACATTACTAACTCAGCTAATGTTTTTGGCTTCTGTGAAAGGTATATCACACCTTTCTCCTCTTCCTTCTGCATTCTGCAGAATTAGACAAAGAGGTAAAATAATACTTATTTTAGCCCATCTTTTTGCTACCAATTATGATGGACCTCAAATATATTGCTTGCAATTCCAGGATGTGATTGGCAAAAAAATGACCTAAGGACAATACATAGAAACTGTCATCACGTCCATGTATTTCAACTGGGCGAAGCTATCCAATTAGTGTCCACACTTCAGCAAAGCTATTCCTGCGGTGTCCCATCAGCAGAACTGTAAGTGAGGGTATGCTGTCAGATTGTGATTGAAGCGACCTATCCAGTCCTTGGAAGCCCAGAACAAACTACAAGGAAGAAGCTGGGTCCTCAGTTACTGGGGTTTTTAAAATCTCCTCTCGGGCCCTCCTGTTAGAAGATACTGATTAATAGACTCTGGTCTATTTTAATTCAAGAGCACCGTCCAGGCAGGGCTGGCTGAGGAGGCAGTTTTCAGAGCAACTCATACGTTGACTGCTACCGTCCTAGGCTCCAAAGAGCATCACTGCATTAATTGGCCCTGGACCTTTTCAATGACCCTCTAGGCTTTCTGTTCGCTTTCTCCGACCTTTAGATGAAGAGTTATATCTCTCTGTCCTTGCCTTGCCACTGTAGTTCATGAAGATGATAATAATAGTGACCCAAGCTGCCCAACTAGGCTTTTGCTTTGTGTGTGACACCCTGTAGCCTGGCCTAGTGATCTTGAGATACGTGCTGCTTTGTGCAGTACCGGACTTAGCACTGACTTGGACGTGGTAAAGAAATGACTTTGTAAATGGTTCCCCAGTGGTACCCTCAAGCATAACTTTCCATTCAGCTCCCATGAGAAGCTATCAAGTCAAGACAAGTCTAGTCAACAGGCATTTATGAAGGTTTGATTATGTGCCAGGCCCAGTGCTGAGGGCTGGGAATACACATTCAAGCAGAAAGAGCGAGCCCGTGTCCTCAATTAGCTTACATTTTAACAGAGGAAGGCAACGCTTAAATCCCTTTGGGATGCAGGCTTAGTAGTGGTATTGCTGTGTCAAAGGATATACACGGTTTTGTAGGCCCCACTAGCAAGTCTTTGTGCCAGTAGCTGGGGTCTTTGTATTTATCAGACAGATCGGTTTGCTTCTTTATGTTATGTAACTAGTCTGGTCCGCTGAGCGCTCTCTCTTTTTTTCAACCAACAATACATTGTTTTGAGAATTACTGCTTTACAGTATAGTTTGAGATTGGACACTGCTGGGCCCCCTTTATTTTCCACTTGTTTTTATAATTTCCCGTGAGATTTTTGACCTTTTTTCTGACTTCATATAAATTTAATTTTTTTTCTAGTTTTATAAAGTAATCCCTTTGTAGTTTGGTACAACACTGAATACGTAAATTAATTTAGGTACTGTTGTCATTTTTATTATGTTTACTCATGCTATCTATGAGTGATTCATATTTTTTCCAATTAATTAGACCTGTCTTTAATTCTGTAAACAGTGGTTTTCATTTTTATTTCTATAATTCTTGTGTATATTTTAGTAGATAGACTCCCAAGTATTTTATACAATTTGTAGTAACTTTAAATGGATTTTTTCCTTTCTATTCCTTCCTGCTGGGTGTATTATTGGTATAATATAGAAATGCTGATTTGTGTGGGCTTATTTTATATCATGAAAGTTTGCTGAAGTTATTATTTTGATTCATTTTTAATTGACTTTTTAGGATTCTTTAAGTATATCATTCTATCATCTGCAAAAATTTATCAGTTCATTTCTTCTTCACTTATGTTTATTCTCTCAATTTCTTTTTTCTTCTTATAGCCCTCATTTCTAGTTCTGTGTCAAACAGAAGTAATCATATGCTTTTTATTGATTTATTAACCAACCCTGAATTCCTAGTAAAGTTCCAAAGTGGTCTTAATGCTATGTTGTTTTAGCCTCTTTGATAATATTTATTTAAAATTTTGCATTCTTGTTCAGTAGGAGTATTGGTCTATAGTTTTGTTTTATTTTGTTTTGTTTTCTGTTTTGACTCTACCTGGTGTGTGTGTCTCAGGACAGTATCTGTGCCATAGAGGGACTTTGGTTCTAGGAAGGCAGAAGAAGGCAAATGTTCTGTTCTGATCAAAGGTCCTCGATTCAGTGAATAGAGGGCTCAAAACCTCTGGGCCACATATATAGGTTTATGATATATCTTATAGAATTTAGAAAAAACTTGTGATAACATAAAATCAACATATATATATATATATATATATATATTAATTTATATTTAATTCTACTTTTTTTGGGGGGGGAGGTGAGGCAATTGGGGTTAAGTGACTTGCCCAGAGTCACACAGCTAGGAAGTGTTATGTGTCTGAGGCTGGATTTGAACTCAGGTCCTCCTGACATCAGGGCCGGTGCTCTATCCACTGTGCCACCGAGCTGCCCCTGCTATATTCCTTTTCTTTTCTTTTCTTTTCTTTCTTTTCTTTTCTTTTCCTTTCTTTTCCTTTCTTCTCTTCTCTTCTCTTCTCTTCTCTTCTCTTCTCTTCTCTTCTCTTCTCTTCTCTTCTCTTCTCTTCTCTTCTCTTCTCTTCTCTTTCTTCTCTTTCCTTTCTTTCCTTTCTTTCCTTTCTTTCTTTCCTTTCCTTTCTTTCTTTCCTTTCCTTTCCTTTCCTTTCCTTCCTTTCCTTGCCTTTCCTTGCCTTGCCTTGCCTTGCCTTGCCTTGCCTTGCCTTGCCTTGCCTTGCCTTGCCTTGCCTTGCCTTGCCTTGCCTTGCCTTGCCTTGCCCTGCCTTGCCTTGCCTTTCCTTCATGAAAAATATTTCAAGAATGAATCTTTCTTACCGACACAGTGGAAAAATAACTCTGAAGTTCTTTTAATAATTTGAAGTTTTTTCCATAGGTTTTAATGTGTCCATTTTTTTTAATCTCAGACAGATGTAAAAAATATAATAATGATGACAATTCCAGGCTGTATCACAGTATGTTTTCATCGTGTTCACTTTATGTTCCATGTAACAGCGTCCTTGATTAAAATTTTCTTTTCTGAATTCAACCAGTTTAAATTTTATTTTCTAGATGTCTCGTGGTGAGACTGTCTGTAAATACTGTGGAGTCAGCTATCTGATCCTTCATGAATTTAAACTTATGGAGGAGAAGATGAAAGCAATGGAAGCAGACATGAAATTTTACCAAGGAAGTGTTGACCGGGAGAAGTCGCTCCAAGAAAAGCTACGGTCTCTTAACCAAGATTTGAAGCAGTCCAAGGCTGATGGTAAAGCCCAAACAGAAAGGTTGGAACCTGTTTGCAATTTTTATTGTTCATATAAACAGTCATTAATCAAGTAAAAACAAGTTCAGAAAACGAATAGGCTTTGAATTCTTTACTACAATCATCCCGTATCAGGTAGAATTTGTGTCTGCATTTGCATTTGTTAATAAAATTACAAATTTCAAATACATACCTGGATCGTAATTATAATTCAGGATCCAGGTATGTCTTTACCACCTGGATAATTTGGAACCAATCAATATATAGTACGTGTAAATAAAAGAAGTTTATTTTTTTAAATACATGCCTCTCTTTTTTACATCATTATTTGTTGCTGACAAGATTTTTCTTTGGAAGATTAGGTAACCTAGCTGTGTAAAACTGCTGAAAATGGTTTTAGGATATTATTATTTTTGGAATGAGAATTGTACGTTTTCAAAGTATTCAAAAACATTGAAACCAGTGTGAAGTTAGAGCAGACAGGGGAATGAGTTGCTGAGGTGATAGGCTCTTGCCCAGCATTCAGTCCTGACTGCTGGTATTTGGGGGTGGGGGAGGGCAGGCCACAGTGGGCATCGGATCTTCTCATTTAACTCCCAGTGTTCTTACTACAGACCTGGCTCTTCTTGATAGGTTTGCTTTTTGATACTTGTCCTTTCCCTTATGAATGAAAGTTATTATTAAATGTCATTGGCTTCCATTATATATTTAGACTCATCAATTTAATTTTACTCGAATAAATACTTATTTATTTTTAAATGGAGAACTCTTCCTGCTTTGTTTTAAATCTTTTAATGACAACAAAACAATAACAGTAACTGACATTATATACTGCTTTAAGCTTTCGGAAGTGTTTCACAGCATCACTGATTTCATTTGTGCCCCCCAGCAGCTCTGTGAGGTGAGTATGTGTGTGTATATATATATGTATACACAGACGTGTATGTCTTACGGGATCTCGGGAAGCAGCCAGGTGTCGTGACGCAGGGCTGGATTTGGAGTTGGGAAGTCCATCCCAGGTCTGACCCTCTACATGGGTGACCATGAAGAAGTCACTTAATTTCTCTGTCTCGCTTTCCTTGCCTATAAAATGGGCATCATATCAGGCAACTGCCTCGTAGATCAAATGACATGAAGGGCTGTGTAAATGTCTGGAGTTATGACTAACAGGTGGAAAGGGAGGTCTTTGGGACTCACCACGTTCTGATGCTGGGCGTTGAACCCGTCTCTGGTGCTCAGCTTTTCTTGGGCCACTTTGGGTTGATGGCTTCAGAGAGAACTCCTGGGAAAGACCGTTGGAGAAACTCCAAGAAATGCTTTTGTTGAAGCCAGGTCTAACATTTCTCCATGACCACCACCAATTGTGTCTGTTGTTTTATATTAATGGTTATTTTCAAATTGGTATCTGACAAGTTCTACTTTTGTCACTGATGACCACAGCTAAATGTTTTATCTGGTTTAGAAAACCAAAGAATTAGACTAGCAGGTCATTTACTGGGGCGGGGGGGGGTGGGTTGTAAGGCAGGATGGAATGATTTCATCAAAGTCAGACGACTATTTCTTTGAGTCACTGAAAAACAGAACGCTAGGTTTTGCAGACATTGAGTTTGTGTGAACGTCAGAGCTGCTGTTACATAAGTTCATCTCTATGTGTCTCCTGGATGTTTTCAAGTGAGCTTCCCGTGAAATCACTGTGTCTTAAATAGAGCTCACTGCTTCCCTGAGGCTTGGACTGTGTTCAGAGAGGTTTTAATACTGGGAGTTAGACAGGAGTAATGCTGGTTGGTCCCATTAATCAGAAAGATTAGAGCTGAAATCCAAATACTGGGAACCAGCTGGGTCCCATTCAGTCCAGAGAGGCAGAGTTCAGAGTCCATTAGAATGCAGACTTTTTCAGGACCACATTTCTTTTATTTGGGTAGTACTGAGCTTGTGCCTTGAATATACTTCAGAGCATCTGTGACTTCATCAGGGTGTGGGATTATCCTTCTGATGCTCAGATCATTACCTTAGTCCATGGATAGCATGAGTTGCTGCAGCCAAAACCTTCATTCTCTGGGGTCCAACTTTCAGGGGGTGAGCCACAATGAATGTAGGCCTGTCCTTGAATGACAGATGGGCCATCCTTCTGGCTAGACTTGTACCCGAAAGCTCTCCAGCTTGGTTTGACCACGCAGAGCTTATGTCCCATTGGTAAAGGCTTTGTTAGCCTCTGGTCCAAGGTCACAGGGTGAGTGACACAATGGACCCTAGCTCCCAGGTCTCTTCACTCCCAGGCCTGCCTATTCTCCTCTGAGATTTTTTTTTTAATTTAATTTTTTTCTTACAGCATGTTACATTTTATTACATTTTTGGGTGGTTAACATTTGTTACGTTTGTTATATCTGAACTGTCTACCTCCCTCCCTGGTAATAGAGAAGGCCACCATTTCACGCATACATATACACGTATGTATGTATGTATGTGTATATATATATATATATATACACACACACATACACACATACAAGTGTGTCTATATATGTGTATATGTGTATATATGCATACATTATCTGTATCATTACACATACATACACACACATATGCATAGGTAAAACCATACTAGGCATACTTCTATTTACCAGTTCTTTCTCTGGAGGTGGATAGCATTTTCCTTCATAGGTCCTGAATTCACTGTATTTTCAGTCAGAGATCTTCTCCTTCATTTCCATAGCGCTCTGTGATGACAGAGCATTGGTCTTTGGCCCACGACCCCACATCTCTGGAACAACCTCAGTCATCAGTTTTAGAGCTAGAAGGGAAGGACTCAGTTACGTTCACAGGAAAGCCTGGTAACAATCTGTAGAAAGGTCTTCAGGAGCAGGGTTGAAAGAAAAATGGTTTTCTGCTTAGCCCTAAGTTAACCAGAAATTTTAATAAACATAGGACATTAGTGGCACATACCTATTATTGAAGTTTTATTGTGTTTTGGAGTTGAGTTGGAAATATTTAATTCTTGGAAAAGGTCCTTTTACTATTGTAATTTTTATGTTGAAAATGACTTAATGTTGTTTTTCTGATAAAGGTTTGCTTAAATCTTGACTAACCAAAATTTTAAGAGAATGAATATTTTGTAAGCATCAGTTGTTATTATTAGGAATAATAATTCACTTTGTTGCAGAAATCTTTTGAAATGTGTCAGTCCATTTTCCTGTCTAGACCTTGAGCAGTTGTGTGATGTAGACAGCTGGGTGGCATAATGGTTAGAACACTAGATCTTGAGTCTGGAAGACCTGACTTCAGAATCTGCCTCAGATACCTACTAGCTGTGCGACCTGGAGACGTTGCTTCACCTCTGTCTGCCTCAGTTTACTCATTTATAAAAGGGCAGTGATTATAGGGTTGTTGTGAGCATCAGACGAGGTCACTTGGGGAGCTCTTCACCAAACCCAGAGGGTTGCTGTTGTAGAGGGCTGGCCTTGAAGTTGGGAAGTCTTGCCTCTGACAGGAGCTGCTTGACCTTGGTTAAGCCAAGTTCTCAATGTTTTAGATAGTTCTCCAAAGCCATAATTTACACAGGACTCACCGATCTATTTGCACTGGGGGCTAGGTGGGAGGGGTACTTTCCACGGCAGGATTCTTACATGTGTGGAAATAGCAGGCTTCTTCCACTCCCTTTCAAAAATACCCTCTGTAGACTCTATCCTGGAACAGAGGGAACAGTGAAGGGCCCAGGTTGTGTGAGTGTGGGAAATCGCCCAACTCCCATTCAATTAAAAATTCATTCATCCCCTCTTAGGGCACCTGACTCAGCTTTGGGAATATAAAGACAAAGAAAGGAACAGAGCCTCTGCCTTCAAGGAGCTTACATTAAAATTGGGGCTTACCCAGAGAAGTGTTTACAAGGTAAAGTTGTCAAGGTTTCCTTGTCTGTAAAATGGGGATGATAGTAGTGTACCAATCTAAAACTGTGAACGTATGCTGTTGTTGCCTTTATTAGTGAAGGAGCTTCATTTTGGACACAAATGCTCGTTGTGTAGCATTGTAACTATAGGAGTTTTAAGACACTGGAAGTGACCTCAGAGATCACCTATCCCAACCTCCCCATTTTACAGGTGAGGAAACTGAGGCTCAGAGAGTTTAAGTGACTTTTCCATGGTTTCCTAGCCAGTAAGTGTCAGAGGTTGGCTTTCGTTCTACCCCCCCTCCCCTGCCAATTCAAGTTGCCTCTCAAAAATCTATAATTCTATAACAAGTACAACTTCCTCAAAGCCCAACCCAATTTTTTGTATTTGGAGTGGGGAGGTTAGAAAGGCAACAATAACAAAATAAGGGGATGGCAGCCAGCTGGTACAGCCAGAGACCGCCGCAGGGGCTGTGTAAGCCTGTCAGGAACCCCTTGATGTTGGCTACAATGGAGGAGATTGGCTTAACACCCCAGCCAGAGTGATGTAACTGCTTCTTTGAATCCAAAAAACAGACAGGGCCAAGTATGCTTGTAGGCTGGTCCTATTTGGAACTGTCGGACAGTGGGGCTCCTGATTCTCCTTTTCATTCTGGTAGCCCAGGAAGGCAAGATAAGATGTGCAGGAGCCAATTGGAAGTACTAATTCCTACCCCAGCTGCAGGAAATGCTTTAGTGAAGATGCTGTTGATTACTTCACCAGGCAAACCATGAGTGCCCATGAAATGGATAGACCATATGAAGGCCTTCATGATGTACCTACATTACACTATAACAAAATTAAAAACGGTTAAAGGCAAGGATTTCATAACGCTTTGTGTCAATGACAGTGTCAGCTCCAAATTCTACAACGTATTGCATACAGATCAGGACAAGGCAATCATAAATAATTTCTTTCCTAAGCCTGGATGGGATGAAATGAGTGGAAACTGAAAACTTACTTAAATCTAAGGAGAGAAAGGGCAGCTATATGTCTTAATGGATAAATACTGGACCTGGAGTCAGGAAGACTCCTCTTCCTGAGTTCAGATCTGGCTTTAGACACTTACTAGCTGTGTGATCCTGGGCAAGTCACTTAA